GAAGAGAGAGGGGGAGAGAGAAAGAAACACCAATGATTTGAGAAAAACGTTGATGGGCTGCCTCTTGCATGTCCCCCATTGGGGATCAAGCCCACAACCCAGGCATGTACCCTGACTGGGAATCGAACCTTGATCTCCTGGTTCATAGGTCGAGGCTCAACTGCAGAGCCACACTGGCTGGGCGGAATGACTGTTAATTTTAACAATGATATGGGTAAGCAGAGACTACCCCTTCTAGGAGTTGAGATGTTTGCTGAAGCAGTTAGGAATGAAGCATTATGATGTCTACAACTTGGTTTGAAATGGGTTCTACACCCTCAACCTATCTAGCTAGCTAAAGCCAATATGGCAGAACAGTAACAGTTATTAACCTACAAGATATGTTTAAGAGTGATCATCGTATTAGTCTTTGTTTAGAAAATTCATAATAAGGTTTTAAAAAATTTAAAGCTAAAAGTAAAAAGTATATTAATGTTCTGCCTTTCATGTATAAATGTAGAGTGCTCTTACTTTTCTACCTTTGACTCGTATTGCTCCAGGTTCACAGGTTCCTGAAGAGTGCTGGTGATCTAGGGTGTTGACTACTGTTAGATCCCCTGGCAAAGAGATGATCTCATAGTATATTTGCTTATTTTCATTTTAAATAAAAAGGAGATGAAAACAAAAGCATAGAATTGGAAACTAACTATGAAGTTAAAGGAAAGGAAGATATGGAATGGGAATAGCTATATTGATTTTTAAAAAGAGAAAACCTTTTTTAATTTTTAAAATTAAATTATTATCTGTGTACATATACCACTGCCCCCCCCCCCCATACATGCCCTCCCTCCCCAGAGAAAACCTTTTTTAATAAATTGGATAAAAAAGAAATGATAACTAGAAATAAAAAAGGAAGGATCAGAGAAGTCAGAAAGATGGATAAAAGTTTAGGAGTAGGAAAGAAGTCAGGAAAAATACTAAGATTTTAGGCTTTAAAGTTTTAGTTCTCACATTAAAAATTTACTCAGGAAATGTTACAAAATATAAGCCTTCGTCATTCAGAAGCTTTATTTTTTATTTTTAAGTTTTTCTTAATACCATCTACTTTTACTTATTTATCTATTTTTTGTTAATCCTCACCCGAGGATATTGTTCCATTGATTTTTAGAAAGAGTGGAAGAGAGAGGGCAAGATAGGGCCTAACCAGAGCCCACCTGCAACCAAGTTACGTTAATCGAACCTGGAACCCTTTGGTCCACAGGCCGGCACTCTGAGCCAAATTGGTTAGGGCCACAAATTAGTTTTAGATTAAACCTTTGATTTGGCTGTCTTTCTACCCTACCATAGTTACAGATAAAATATTTACATGATTGAGCATACTTTCATAAATAGAAAAATTCCACCTAAAGCATAAATTCTAAAACTTCCTTGTATTACCTAAATATTAATATAATCAGATAATAAGGTAATCTTAAGTTTTTTCCCCCCTACCTTTTAGGCTTGTGCACTTATTTAATTTCCAGTGATGCTCTATTACCATTGCACCAAAATTGGAAGGAGCTTAGACTTTCTAAGTACATTTTAGAAGTTTATTTTTAAGATATATTTTTATTGATTTCGGAGAGGAAGGGAGAGGGTGAGAAAGAAACATCAGTGATGAGAGAGAAGCATCAATCAGCTGCCTCCTGCAGGCTCCACACTGGGGATTGAGCCTGAAACCTGGGTATGTGCCCTGACCAGGAATTGAACCGTGACCTTGGGGTTCTTAGGTCGATGCTTAACCATTGAGCCACCCAGGCCAGGCTAAACACATTTATTTATTTATTTATTTATTTATTTAACAGAGAGGAAGGAAAAAGACAGAGAGCTAGAAACATCGATGAGAGAGAAACACTGCTCAGCTGCCTCCTGCACACCTCCTACTGGGGATGTGCCTGCAACTAATCTTGACTGGAATCAAACCTGGGACCCTTCAATCTGCAGATTGACGCTCTATCCACTGAGCCGAACCGGTCAGGGTAGCACATTTATTTTTGAATTAAATAGTTTTCACTTTATAGAAAAGTTGAAAGGCTAGAGAACTAACCAGATTGTGCTGAAACTTATTAGAATACTAGAGGCCTAGTGCACAGATTTGTGCACTGATGGGTCCCTCGGCCTGGCCTGCAGGGATTGGGCAGAAACTGGCTCTCCTGAGGAGGTTCTGGATTGCGAGAGGGTGGTTTTTGGGTGACACCCCCCAGAATCAGGCTCCCTCCTCTCTGGTTCCAGGTGCATCACCCGAGAACCATAGCTGCCAAGTCACCGCAAGCTCGGCAGTTCCTGTGTTGAGCGTCTGCCCCCTGGTGGTCAATGCACATCATAACTACTGGTCATATGGTTGGATGGTTGCTTAGGCTTTTATATGTATACTACCGTGTTTCCCCGAAAATAAGACATCCTCCGAAAATAAGACCTAGTGCATGGAAAGATAAGACATCTCCTGAAAATAAGACTTAGCGCAACTTTGGGAGAAAAAAATTAATATAAGACACTGTCTTATTTTCGGGGAAACAGGGTAACACCACTTCAAAATATGTAACATTTTGACAGTGAAAGTAGAGACGTGGAATTTTTGCTCAGTGATAATGGCTAGTTATTATTTCTTAGACTTAATATATATTTACAAGAACCACATTAAAAAATATCTCAAATTTTCTCTAACTACATGCATATGAGCATTACACAGAATTACATTAAACTAAAAGAAGATTAAAAGAAGAAATGACCAATTTAAAATGATCAGATCTGTTTTTAAAACATAATATATGCTTTCATTTTGTATTCAGAATAAGACAAAATGCTTTTTGTAATAATTTTAAGGTATCAAAGCAAGAAAAATAGTAAATAATAAATATAGTCTTTTCAAGTTTCTAAATAAGACAACTTTTTAATTCCTATGAAAGGAAAAGAAAAGTAGTTCAGAACATGAAAGAAATGTCATTCTTTCCATATCTTTCTTTTTGAGAGAACCTGATAAACAGTGTAACTGTTATATGAGGAGCAAACGATGGCAGAAATGCTTTCTCTATGAAAAAATGAGCCACATGTTCCTTTTTGGATAGCTCCTTTCATCAATGCATTTTGAACGATTCCATTCACATAGGTTTTTAGCCCTCCCGTATTTTGTTTTGAAGCAGAGAATATCTGTAATTATGCTGTGCAGAATTATCAGAGAGGCATTAATTCTATGTTTCTATAATGAAAGAAGAAATCAGTTATGCTTATTGACATTTGTGGTTTTAGAGGAAAGCTGCAGCAATACATAGCTCTGGGAAAAGGACAAGATAGATCTAGAACTTCTGACATTGTTGGGGAGAAGTAGGAGCTACATTCCTTTGCTTAGATTTTTTTTATGGTACAAGCAGCTATCTCAAATGGCACAACTTCCTTTATCAGAGGCTTAGCGGTAGGACAGACTGGATGCAGATATGTAGCTTCAGTTTGGACTTTAGCATAGAGGTGAAGTGAATCTTGGAAACTCCTTGGAATCCAAGTTTCAAAGGAGCACATCGAATGAGTGGGTAAGAGGAAAAGGAACCAGAAGATTGGGTATAAATGAGAGGGGAAACTAACTCTGAGAAGCAGTTAAACTGACCTAGTTTGATGGGATCTGCAAGACCCTGGAGTTGGAAGGTGGAAGGCCAGTACAGGCCATTCTCCTGGACCTTGTGTGACACTGGAATCCCTCTTTAGTGCTCCTGATATGTGGTCACACTTGGACTACCTCCAGTGGCAGGATGCTCACTGACTCTGGAGGTAGATAGTCCCTGACTTGAGAAAATGTGTAGCCATACTTTTTATTAATGTAGCCCTTGTAGAAAAGCTAAGTACAGACCTATATGGAGTCTAAAAAGGGCAAGTCTCCAGCAGCTCACCGATGAACGTTATCCACGTATACATGTTTTCCCCTGCATGTGCTGTGAACTGTGTAAAACAGCTCATTTTTGTTTTTTGAGAATACTATATTCTTTTCTGCAGTTTTTGTCATTTGACATTTTGAATGTCTGCATTAGTGCATATGGATTAGCCTAATTCTTTTTAATGACTACCGCATATGGTGTATACCAGAGTTTATTTGATGTGTTTTTAAAAATATATGTATGTTTTATTAATTTCAGAGAGGAAGGGAGTGGGAAAGAGAGCTAGAAACATCAATGATGAGAGAGAATCATTGATCGGCTGCCTCCTGCATGCCCTTTGCTGGGCATGTACCCTGACTGTGACCTCCTGGCTCATAGGTCAGTGCTCAACCACTGAGCCACACCAGCCTGGTCAACCAAGGTCTTACTGATATATATTTGAGTTGTTTCTAGTTTTTGTGCTCTTAGAGATAATAATGCAATGAACATTTATTATCTTGACAGTTCTAAGTACAAAGCTTTTTTTTTTTTTTTTTTTTTTTGTACTGGCCAAACATCTTCCTCCTAACTTTACTTACTGGTTGTAAAAGCAGTTGCCATCTTCTTCAGCCATGGTCTTTTTTGCCAATGTCTAAAATGTAGTAGTGATGGAACTGAACACTTTTAATTGTGGTTTCACCCAAATGCAGAACATGGGATTGTCTATTATTTTATTATTTCTCTTAAATGTTTTTTATTGACTCCAGAGAGAGGAAGGGAGAGGGAAAAAGGGATAGAAGTGTCAATGATGAGAGAGAATCATTGATTGGTTGCTCCCTGTATGCTTCATGATTTTATTACCTCTTAATCCTATCATGTCACACATTGTTAGTTCATGTTGAGTATAGAGTCAGGTAAATGTTTGCATTTCGAGTTGGTGGATCCCTGGAGTATCTGATAAAAGCTGTGGACTTGTCACCACTTCACCCTACCCCCCAAATGCATTAACACAATTATTGCTGCAGTTTCAGGTGGTTCTTGGGTCTTCTGTGTTTCTAATTTCTTTATGATTGCTTTGCTGAAGTCATAGATTCTCTCATCCTCTATCAGTGCTGTTACATAGTCAAAAATTAAACCAGAGTGCTCACTTCAGCAGCACATATACTAAAATTAGAACGATACAGAGAAGATTAGCATGGACCCTGTACAAGGATGGCATGCCAATTAGTGAAGCATTCCATATTTTTTAAAAAGAAACAAATTAAACCAGAAATGGTCAGTTTCGCATTTTTTAGTGAGGCTTCTATTGTGTAGTAGTTTATTTGCAAGTGCTGTTTTTATTTATTTTTTAAACAATCCAGGATCAGCCTCAAGCTAACCAGTCCGTAGTTGAGAAATCTGTCTGGCTTCTAGTCCTCTCCCATTCTTCACGATTCCACACAGATTACAGAAAGCAATTAAGCAGCCTTATCTGTGAAGCCTCTCAGGATCCCAGGATGTGATTTGTGAGATCAAATGACTTGAACTCAGTGAGAATATCTAGCTGGTTTTCTTTTTTTTTCTCAGCCATCTTGGATTTAAGTTTCTTCTTAGTCATTGTATTTGATCTTCAGATTGGAAAGAATAAAACATTCTTAGCTGAGAATGGAAATAAAATAGGAGTAAGGCTGTTTGTCTTTGTTAATATTATATTAACCACCTCATCCAGAGGAGACTTCACCTTTCCCTCTACTTTTTACTTTAACCTCTAAACTACCATTTATTCAGTATCTGGCACTTTATACAGTCACAATTCATTCAGAGGCTTTAGCCTTGTTTACAATTTTCTTAAAATTCCATTCCACTAATACTTATTTTATGTGCCTGTGTGTGTGTGTGTGTGTGTGTGTGTGTGTGTGTGTGTTTACCATCTGTTGTAAGTAGTTTTTTTTTTTTTTCTTCTTTTTTTTTTCTTTTTTTTTTTTTTTTTAATAAGTTTTTATTGTTCATATTATTACAAATGTTCCTTTCCCCCCCCCCCCCACCATTGCTCTCCTCCACCAGGTTCCCACCCCACCCTCTGCCCTTTCCCCTCTCCCCATTGTCCTCATCCATAGGTGCACAGTTTATGTTCAGTCTCTTCCCACGCCCCACTCTCCCCTTTTCCCCAAGAATCGTCAGTTCACTCCCCTTCCATACCTCTGATTCTATTATATTAAACAGTTAATATTGTTCATCAGATTTTTTTTTTAATTTCCTTGGTTTTTAGATTCACTTGTTGATAGTTACGTATTTGTTGTTCATAATTTTTATCTTTGTTTACCTTCTCTTCTGAAAGAACCCCCTTCAGCAATTCATATAATTCTGGTTTGGCAGTGATGAACTCCATTAGCTTTTTTTTATTAGTGAAGCTCTTTATCTGGCCTTCGATTCTGAGTGATAGCTTTGCTGGGTAGATTATTTTTGGCTGTAGGTTCTCGCTATTCATCACCTTGAATATTTCTTGCCATTCCCTTCTGGCCTGCATGGTTTCTGTTGAGAAGTCAGCTGACAATCGTATAGGTGCTCCTTTATAGGTTACTACCTTCTTTGCTCTTGCTTCTTTTAATATTCTCTCTTTGTCTTTTGCTCTTGGAATTTTAATAATGATGTGTCTCGGTGTGGTCCTCTTTGGATTCCTTTTGTTTGGAGTTCTGTGTGCTTCCTGGACTTGTAAGTCTAATTCTTTCACCAGATGGGGGAAGTTTTCTATCACTATTTCTTTCAGTATGTTTTCGATATCTTGCTCTCTCTCATCTTCTGGGACCCCCATAATTCTGATGTTGGTTCGCTTGAAGTTGTCCCAGAGGTTTCTTACATTATCTTCAATTTTCTGGATTCTCTTGCCTTCTAGCTTCTGTGGAGGAGTGTCTTCTGGCTCTTTATGTTCCAAATCTTTGACTTGATTCTTGCGATCTTCCCTTCTGTTTTTAGGACTCTGTAAAATATTTTTTATTTCAGACAATGTATTCTTTATTTCTTGTTGATCCCTTATCATTTCTTGTTGACTCCTTATTAATTCTAGTTGATCTCTTTTCATATCCTCATAGGCCTTATCCATCTTTTCTAGGAAATTCTTGAAAAACCTTGTAAGCGTAGATTTGAACTCTATATCCAGACGCTTTTTGTCCTCCATTTCTTTTGTTTGTGATCTATTTTGTTGTCGCATTTCGCAGTTACAGATGGGGCGGGGTTTCAGGGTGGAGCCTACAGCCTTGGCTTCTGTCAGCCCCGCCCTATGCGGGTCCTTCAGTGCTCGCTGCTGCCGGCGCCTCTGAGAGAAAGGTGCCCTCGATTTTCGCCTGCTGCCAAACAGTCTATGCTCTCCCCCAATGAGCCCGGAACTGGGGTTCAGTTCAGTTGGAAGTGGAGTTGGAGGTGGCGTTCAGAGCAGTCTGGAACCCCAGTCTCCTTCCCGTCAGGGCAATCCCGCGGCACAGCCGACCGTCCTTTCTCTGTGCGCAGTGTGCGCGCCGCCGCCGGGACCTCCTTTCACTGCTCCCCGGGGTTCTGCCTTACAGCCCGGCTCCCTATGGCTGAGCCTGAGTCCCCGGGGTCTGGCTTAAAACTGGGGATCAGAGCAGTCGGGGGCCCAGCACAGTCGGAGTTTTATCTCCTTTCCGCTAGGGAACGCCCGCCAGGCACTCGGCCTCCCTCCTCTCCGGCTCTGTCCTCTCTGCGCGCCGCGTCTCCGCGTCTCCGTACCTTGGCTTTTCCAGCTCCTCCGCGCCTCCTTCTGGTTTTCTCCTTGCTTCTCGCTGTAGAATTTCCAGTCAGTCAACCTTCCTGTAGTTCTGGGCAATGTCCGTTTTATATTTTAGTTGTATTTTATTGAAATTGTTGTGTGCGGCTGCGGCTAGGTGTTCACCTGGGCGCAGCCATCTTGGATCTCGTAAGTAGTTTTTTAACATCTGAATTCCAGAAAGCTCTGTGCAGCACATTAGATTTTTTAGATACTTTACTATTTTCTTCCCCTTATGCAGTCAACATTCATGCTTTTGAGAACCTCCAAGCTTTTGAGAGCCTTTACAGTTTCTGATCTTGGAATCTATCCTAATTTTTCTTTGAAAAATTTGAAATCTGCCTATCCAATATGTGCATCCTTCCCCTTCCTTTCTTGTTCTCCAAACAACACGGCTGCTGGCTGCTTTCTCCAAAGCTTCCTTCTACTGGTATATTACTAATCATGTATTACTGGTGAGGATTAGATCAAAGTAACAGTTTCTCTCATTTCTCCTCTACTTTCTAAAAGATTGAATTTTTACACAGACGGGAAGCACATCATCTGATGCATTGACTTAAGCTGAGTGACACTTCAACAGATGTACCCTGGTCAGTAAAATAAAGCTAGTAACTGCTATTATTTTTTTTTTGTACAGTACCCTTATGACAGACACCATACTAAGTTCTTTTCACTTATATTATCTTGCTTATCTCCTTTCTTAGGGTTATGAGGTGTAGGTACTATTGTTATCCAGTAATTCACATGAAGAAATGGGCTTAAGAATGTTGAATTGCCCAAGATTGCACAGCTTGTGAGTGCCAAAGTCAGATATTTCCTAAATCAGGTTTTGTTGTTGTTGTTAACCTCACCTGAGGATATGTATTTTTTCCCTACTGGTTTTTAGAGAGAATGGAAGGAAGCGGGAGCGATAGAAACATCGATGCGGGAGAGAGATCGATTGGTTGCCTCCTGCATGTGCCCTAACCGGGGCCAGGGATCAAGCCTGCATCTGAGGTGCATGCCCTTGACTGGAATCAAACTCCTGACTCTTCAGTACTTGGGACAACCCTTTAACCACCGGCTAGGGCCTAAGTCAGAGTCTTAATCATCATACTGGGCTGTTTGACATGGTACTTAATTACTATGCCGGACAAGATTCTTATACTTCAAAACCTGTGTAGTTCTCAGACCACTGGCTGTGCACAGTAGGCTCTTAAATATTTAATTGGAGGTTTGTTTCTTGTTGATTTCCAGGGTATTATTGCCTTTTAGCTCTTATAAATCAGTAAGAAAATGATGAGAAAATGAGTGAGGCACACTACACTATTAGGCAATTCATAGAAGAAATGAAAAGAAATATTCATTTTTTACTAATCAGATCTTTTTTTAATAATATATTTTATTTTTTTTTACAGAAAGGAAGGAAGAGAGATAGAGAGCTAGAAACATTGATGAGAGAGAAACATCGATCAGCTGCCTCTTGCACACCTCCCACTGAGGATGTGCCCACAACCAATGTATGTGCCCTTGACCAGAATCGAACCTGAGACCTTCCAGTCTGTCTGCAGGCCGACACTCTATCCACTGAGCCAAACTGGTTTTGGCTAATCAAATCTTTTGATGATTTTAGGAGATCCATTTTTTTTAAAAAACAAGTTTAAGGTGGTTTTTTAAAAATATATTTTATTGATTTCTTATAGAGAGGAAGGAAGAGGGATAGAGAGTTAGAAACATTGACCAGCTGCCTCCTGCACACCCCCAACTGGGGATGTGACCGCAACCAAGGTACATGCCCTTGATTGGAATCGACCCTGGGACCCTTCAGTCTTCAGTCTGCAGGCCGACGCTCTATCCACTGAGCCAAACCAGTTAGGACAGGAGATCCATTGTTAAAATACAAGACTCTTAGTGCTCTCCCTCTCTGGAGCACCCTTGCCTTTCCCTTCCCCATTTTGATCCTCTAGGTGCATTACTTTTGCCTTTGTCTTTTCCTCTTTTTTTTTTTTTTTTTTTAATAACTTGTTTTCTTAGCCCATTTCTTCTGTAGATCACTTTTACTACCTCTGTAACTTTCTAAATAAACTTCCTCTTACAAGTTGGAGAAAAAAGGCAAGACTCATTTTATATAAATATATAGGCTTTTTCTGATTGTCTTCAACTTCTTACTACTTTCATAAAGTACCCCTTGGGTGTTTAAGGCTAGTTTGATAATCTTTTATATCTAAAGTTCTATAGCACTCACTGATGTGCTATACAGCTTCATGCCTGTCAATTGCCTCATTTACTTATTGGTAAATGTGTATGTTTTCATTTCTCCAAATATTTTTCTAAATTCTCTGTTGAAACAGACCACACCTTATCCTTTAAATTTTTTCCCCCCCATTATTGATTTCTAGAGAGGAAGGGAAAGGGATAGAGAGATAGAAACATTATCGATTGGCTGCCTGATGCATGGCCCCTACTGGGGATCAAGCCTGCAACCTGGGCATATGCCCTGGACTGGTG